CAAAGCACTATTTTTGTTACAAGGGATACAAATTCCCAAAGTAGAATTTGTAATATGAAAGCAGAAGAAAAAAGGGACTATAAGATGACTGTTTGGGCCATTTTAAGTAAACCGCATCACAGGAAGCTGTAGTATTTCAGACTTAAGGGTAAATGGGGACATTCTGTCTTGGAATGTAAATATATTTTTGTCATCAAAAAGAACAGGAGCATATCTAGTATTTTGTAGTTTGTTGGCAAAATGTATTTGCCACACAGTTCTCTGCTATGCTTAATGTATGTCTCTTCTTACTTCATAAATGTGAAAATAGGCAAGAAAAAAGATAATAATGTAAAGGCAGGCTTATTTCTGCAACAAATGTTATATGCAGCCATTTGTTTCCTCCCAGCTAAGACAGTACTTATTTAATTGCAAGGAAAAACGTCATAACGCGGCTAACTGGCTTCTGCTACTGAAGCTCGTGCCAGAAACGTTAGGGTGGTGCTGCTTGTGGGGTGGTGTTTCTGCTTTCTCATGCATTCAACCAATATGACTAAGATAAAGACCAGGGAACAATGTCTGTTCCTTTAGCCATGGTTTAGCCTAACCTGCTGCTGAAGGCAGTGAACTCTTGAAAAAGGTGGAGATCACAGGATGGTGGGGTGTGAAACCCTTGATCTGCAAAGGGCATGTTTATACTTGGAAACAGGCCATGGATGTTTGTGTGTGAATATGAGTTCCTTCCCTATTCTGCTTTATTCACTTTTAAAAGGTGGATAAATCTGAGTGTTTCCTGAGCTGTAAAGTTCTGGTTCAAACAGACCAACAAACAAAAAAGCTGATGCATTCCAAGTTGGCATTAATCTCTATTTGCCTGAGTTTGTCTACGCCTTGTGGGAGCTGTAGTTCAGCACTAGTAACCCCTGCAGTGCGGCCTCTTCCCTAGTCGAACAGCTGTGATGCATCAGCCTCATACTCTGTCTTGTGCTGATTTTCTTTCATCAAAAGTTCTCCTGAAAACTACTGATTCCTACAGAAAGCCTTCAGAATTTGTCAAAACTGTTTTCCAATAAGGAAATCTTTCCCTTAAATTTTTTTGGCCAATGCTGTTTTCAGGATGGCAGGGGCAGCACAACAGACCAGTTAGGGGAAACACTGAACCAGAAAAAGGGTGTTTAAATTACAGTGGTGACTTTTTTTTTTTTTTACATATAGCTTTTCCTAGTTTAAAGCCTGTGTGTGAACTAATGATTAATCACAGATGCAAAAGAGACTTTGTGCTTTGACAGCACCTTTTCCAAAGGATGTTCTCAAAGCCGTCTGTACAGAATGAGTTCCCTCATAATTACTGCACATATTTTGCAGATGAGATTGCTGAGGCACAAAAACATCACTAAAGACTATGCAGAAATCTGTGGCAAGGATAAAACTCAGGTTTCCTGAATGTCGGATTTGTCTGAAGGTTCCCTCTCTTTGCTGGTTGCAGCAAAAGGGAGTAAGTTTGAAGGCAGAGCACAGAAAGAAGGAATAAATTCTCAGATACAGTTTTCATATCCTTGTGTTCCTCAGACACTCTTCACACTTAGGGGTGTAACCGTTTTCTGACTAAACTTGCAGCACAGCTATAAAAGCTTGGGGCTAACCAAGGCTAATTTTAAACCATCCCTCATTATCTCCGTCATTTGTAGGGTAAGTTTTAGAAGGCAGTATTTTTATTTGATAGAAAGAGCTGATACAGCTCTATTGTCAGCAACTAGCTTGGCCAGAACCAATTCATCGTTATAATTACCTGCCTGAGGACTCCTTTTTGACTTGCTTTGCCTTTCTGGCTAATGAGATGTGTTACCCCAGCACAGCTTTATAACATGCCTACTGTTGATTTACTGTTGCTTGAGGCTAGACAATTCCTGCCTGACAGCAGTTCCTAAGCTTTGCCTGTAAAATCATATTGCAGCCAAACCACACATTTGCACAAATGAAACAGGCAAATGTGCGCAGAAATGTATAGGATAGAAACTGCTGCTGGTCCTGCTTAGAATGGTATCTAGAGGACACAGTCGCCTCTAGCTACTACTATGGGAAGGGAGAAGGCTTACATATAGGACGACGTCATAGCAAAACCCTTTCATGTCCTTAAAACTGCCAAAATGCACAACTTGCTAACCAGCTGTGTCTCCTGATGGAAGAAGGCAGAGTGGCTCATGTAAGCCATTGGGCCAGGTCTAACAAGCCTGAGAAAAGAGATTCATCATTTTGGAAGTCAAAGCAAAGATTCCCAAAATCAAATCTTCAAGATTTCCAGCTTTCCTTAATACTAAGGATTGTTCTTACTGACCCCTAGAGGAGGAGGATTTGGAGCACAGACTGTTTCCTCAGAAAAAGGAGACAGGTGCTAAAGTGCTTCCCCTTAACTGGGCTTTTCTTTCACAAAGGCATTAGCAGATAGTTGCAGCTGTAGCATTAAAAAGCAGTTTTGCAAGGTTAGGATGATAAAGAATGGAGTACATTTTACATCAGACTCTTCTCTTACTAATAACCCTACAGTTCTCTCTTGTCTACCATGGTTTCAATCCCAATGGGCTCTTTTTATTGTAGAATTGAGCAATTCCAAGGCACTAGAGATATGTCTGTCTCTGATCAAAGCAGGATACTGCCATGAGGTTTGCTATCCAGCAAGCCTGTCACTAATACACAATGAATACTGAGACTTGGGTCTCTTAGGCTAAATAAATTTTAAGTCAGGATTAAAGAGATCCTATCCTAACTAACAAGAATTGGCTAATGCTAAGCAGGTTGTTACCTACTTCGCTGAGGGTAAAATGCTTTATAAATATGCATGTTTAGTTTATTCTACAGTTGGAAGTGTAGCCAACTGTTTTTATGCTGCATAGTTGGCCTTTCATAGGTTGCAAGGAATTAAATGAAACAAATCATGTCAGCCAAGTAAATGGTCTTAATTTGCTAAAGAAGGTGACTTGAATTCAGAAAAATGCATATTCAAGGTTCCTGAAGAATTTCTGTGCAGAAACTTGGAGAAAACAGGTGCTTTAGGGCTTCTGATTTTTGCATCTCAACAAGAAGCTTACACTTAAATTAGAACAAAGATTTCAGTTTTATGGTATATCTAGGGTTTTAACACAGTCCCTACAGCAAACAGCTTTATGCAGAATGTCCTATTAGTTTCAGTGGAGCTGGAGAGGGCGGGAGGAGGGAGAAGAGACTTCGCATGCAGTTGGAGAATTTTTTCCTTTTCGGCTTACACCCTGTAGAGTGCACACACACTTGCATTATGCTAAGTAAACTATGCCAGTGGTCATTTAGGCAGGTCAGGTCCTAAAATTAAAGCACATAGCACTTATTCCAAGCTAACATCTTGGCCTTCCGAACAGATTTCAGTGCAGCTTTGCAGTATGGTGCACGTCCTGTGGCCCAAGCCAGCTAGCTGAAGCATCTCTGCACAGCACTGTAATGTTTCATGCAGACATCCACTGAAATGTGATCTCTTCTGTACTGTCCCATCATCAATAGGCTATTTACACAGCGTTCACTAACTGCCTTGGAGGGTATCTAAATGCTACTGCGGATAGGTAAACTACACTGCCCCTGAAAAAGAGTTCACTATATCTAGTCTATAGGAAAGAAGAAAATGAGAGAAAAGATGTGATACTTCTCAAGAAAACCCACATAATTCCTCTAACAAAGCTCCTATCTCTACCTGTGCAGTAAGTGCAATTTTCTCATTTTATCTTCCTGTACACCCTGCAAAGCAGAACTGTGGAAAAGCTGAGCAAACAAACCTCTTTATAACTTGACTTGGAATGATTTCACAGATCTCTCTCTCTTGCTCAGAAGGAAAAAAAAATCCATTAGTGCTTGTCAAGGAAAAGGAAATTATAACAAGGAAATAAAAGCATTAGAAGATGTCTTCCAAAGGCCTGATATGAAAAAGGCTGAGTTGAGGGTGAGGCGGGGGTAAAAATCCAAAACAGATTGTCTTGCCAATCTAAATTAGGAGATGAAAGTTTAAACCAGTCAGAAACTTCTGGACAGAGACATCATCTGCTCACATAACTTGGATATAAAGGCAAGGAAGATGCTAATAGCTGGGAATGGAGGGACTGTAGGAACTTGGTTTTGGCCTGGCAATAAGCGGTCTGGAAGGCCAGGAGAATCTCATTCCTCCCTCGTGTGCCTTCCTGAACCCTTTTCAGCCACCAAGACCCTATGTGCCACCAGAGTATCTGGCAGGTACCCTGTGACGGTAAAGTGAGGGAGTGATGGGAGATAAGGAGAGCCTGAGAAGGATAGCAGGAATAAGGGGGGGACCCACATAACACAATGCCTCTCGCTGGAGCCTTGGGAGCTCTCAGCTGCTGCAGTAATGGCTGCATCATGGAACTGTTGCAGCTCCCACTTTCAATCAAGAAATCTAGCTGTAGATAAACATCAAGTGCATCCTTATAAACTTTAGATTCGAATATTGAAACATCCCTCATATTGTTGTCCTTCTGCTCCCTCACTCTTCCAAGAATGGCCTTTGTTTCATCAATCATTGTTTTCTCTTTGTAGTTTAGACCCACTGGGACTTCTCCAGCAAGGCAGTACATCATTTTTAATTAAACAAAAATTACTTGGGCAGATGATGTAACTGTTCATTAACTTGTGGGAGTTAATTTTACTGCATCAGTTCTCTTCTGAGCATGTAACGCAAGAGTGCTTCAGCCTCCCTGGGGAGCCTGTGAGGACACAAGATCATATACTTCCCCTCACCTTTAGCAGCTGCAGTAGCACAGCTCCTAAATGCTCTACTGTGTATCTCAGTTGCGAACTCAGTTAAGAACTGGGCCTTTCTTTTCCTCCCACAGCAGTAAAGTTACTGCTGTAACTTTACATAGCTTATATATATATTTATCCTTCCTATATCTTAATTCCATAGGCTATCACTAGACATTAACCACTTCACTGGCGGTCAGCATAAGTGACCTGCTTTGGAGCTATGACGTGAAAGCAAATGCACGCACCTTGTTAGTCAGAGCTGGACTGCCAGTACATCTCTGCATGGAGGGTGGCATGTGGTAAATATCTTGTCCCACTAGACTGTGACCAGTGGGTATTTGGTAAATTCCCCGACTCAGATGGGAAGGTGGCACTTGGTAGACAGGGTCCTGTGCTGAGGCATGCGAGCTTGGAACTTGGTAGATCTTTTGCTGGTTGAAGGACTGATGCATCAATCCTGAATTGGACATATCCTGGGCAGAAGGACTGTCCTGTATCACTGGACCTATCAGGAGTTTCACACGGTTGCCTGGAACGATGCCTTGCCGGCCATGTAAGGAGCAGAGCCACCATCCTTCAAGACCTTCAGTGTTCTGTTCTATCACCGTCAAAATATCTCCTTTGCGGAACGCTAACTCTTCTGCACATTCGGGGACATTATCGTACAGGGCTCTTGCAATAAGATTCTGTGAAGAAAGAAGGGCAAGAAAAATGAACAAACAGGCTAGAATTTTTCTAAAACTTCACGTACGTTCTAGGTGGAGAGAAATAAGAACTGAATTTCAGAAAGAAGTGTGCAGGAAATCAAAATAACATGGCAAATAATGCAGCACAGAATTCTGCTGTCTCAAGTTCGAGAAATGAGAGGCTTATGCATTAGCAACACTGCTAGTGAGAACTTCTCCAATAATACTAGGTGAGATAGAAGCTCTTTATGTCGTCTATTCACCTGAACAGACAGGAAGTCAGGAGAGTTCTGCTCTTGGCATTGAGATGCTCTTCCTGTGAATAAGGGCTTGTACCTTTATCTCTGGCCATTGATTTCCCTATAAATGTGCTCTGTGTACTGCTACAGCTAGCTAGCTGACACTTAAAATAATACTTGAACAAGACTCTCAGGGGCATAATCCAGAGCAGTTGTTTCCACTTTTATATTTGCAGGGTCCCAAATGATTTTCCACTAGAGGGGCAGATCCCATTAGTATAAAGACAGTGGGCTGGCTTTTCTTAGCCGCTACCCTCAGGCTCCTTAAAGTCAGGGATCTGTAGACCACCTGGTGAGAAAAAAAGGCCTAAAATACAAATTGTCAAAATGTTACAGTTTTTGAACCACGATGCTCATGTTGGTATGTAGTTCTGTGTGTTCTTGCTCTTTCTGCAAGCTTCCTTGGTGGCACAGGACAGCATAACACTAGGTTAATAGGTAAAAAGCTTCTCTCCCCCACTGCCTCAAAACCACCACCACCACAAAAAAAACCAGCCTCAAAGGACAAGGTTTGTCAGAGTCCCATTCTCTGTGGAAAGATCTTGAAAAGAACATTATTTAAAAAACTAATATGTTCAGTGACCCCAGCTGGAGTCATGCCTTTGCCATGGGGAAAGCTGTCCCAATTTATGTGGGCCTGTCCTTATGTCAAAGAGCGTAAGAATTTAGGTACCAAACATCACTACAGAGTGCGTCTATAAGTAACTTGGGAGGAGTCTAAGGGCAGCAAAGAAGTGCCTTTGACCTGTGTCATCACAATTTAAGCATACTCATATGCATTTTGCTTGATTATGTCACGTGGAGCAGTAACATTAATACAGGGAACTTCACACAGATCTACTCCCAAGCATTTGGCCTAGGGTTTCAGGCAGGCTTTGCAGCTTGCCCTAACCTCAATTTTGTTGTGGCTATGCTACCAGCAGTACCTCTGCTAAGAAGTTTTAAGCCAATTCCAAGCTGATGTAAGATTGTGGTCTGTGATGTGTTACTAATAAGTGCCATCTCCTCTCATGGATTGAACCAGCTCCCTTCCCTCTTTCTTTGCAGGCCTGCATGGCACATCCAGTTCTGAATAATCGGCCAAGCTTAGGTATTCAATGGAAAGTAGACAGGCTGTCTGCACTGACATTCTTGGACCCCTCACAAAGGCCGTGAACATTTAATTTCTTGGCTCTGGTGATATTTCCAAATGTGTTGGCAACAACTGCTCCATGCCTGCCTGCTTTTTGGTGAAGGCAGTCAGCAGAAATGGTAATAAACTAATTGTAAGCACTTGAAAAAATATAGGGAGTCCTGGGTCTGGAGTGTTCTAGCTGAAGTATTTGGATGCAATACATAAACTGAAATGGTGCTAATCCACTGTAAGATAGGATACGCAGCTGTCTTGAAGATTTATCTTCCCTCTGTTAAAGGGGTAGTGTCAAGAACAGTTTAGTGTTTCTTATCTGTCATTTATCCTCCTTCTTGGACATATCAAAACTTTTTTTATCCCACACTTGTTATATCTTTCCCCATTGACACACACTGATGTTTTCTCATCATCTCTGTGCTTCAGCAACATAGCAGACTTCTATTTGACCTTGCCCAGTTCAACTTTTCTGAAGTGTAGCATACGGCCGGGAGGTTGTATGAAGGGCTGACTGGTGGATGGGTAAACTCAGATGTCACATAAAAGGTAGACTAATAGGCTCTTCCCAAGACACGTAGTATTCAAACAGGGTGCATGAGATCAGTTTTCTCTTCTCTGAATGGGAGATCAGCTTTCAAATGTATGAGAAACACTGGCTTTGCCTTTCATCAGCATGATTAGTGAGGTCAGTATAAATTAAGCTTTGGCTTGAAAAAGCAAGACTGCCATTTTGAACTCCCATGTAAACAGCAGTACTGAGGCCCACCATTCTCTCTGATGTATGACTACTCAGCTCATCAGTCAACAACACTAAGAAATGCGAATAGAGATAAAGCAGGGAGAAATTTTGTCCGTGCCTTGGCAGAACTGTAAAACTATTCTTTAGCATAGTCAAAACCAGTCGTCTCTTCTTGAACACTACATCTATGCTCTTGCTGTGTTGACCTGGCTGCTCAGCTGAGTCCAAGGAACTCAGAAAAGCAAAGCTCCTGCCTAGTCTGAATATTCAAGTTAATCTCTTATCTTTCTACATTTCTTTCTAATGTGTCCTTCACAGGAGAACTCTACTAATGTGACTAGCTCAACCTCTGCAACTGACTATTCAAAGGAGGCTTTTGCAGAGGACGTTGTTTAAAGAAGGAGGAAGATTACAGGGGGGGATGCAAAACAAGCATGATAAAAGCTTATTCTTCTATATTTTGGTGATTGATGGTATTTGAAAAGCCCAGTTAGCTTCTACAGCAAAGCAATTCTCAGAACTGGAATGTTGGTAGAACTAGAGCAGATAAAAGTTCCCATGTGAATTTTTTTTTTTCTGAATTGCTCATTATCTCTGTCTCGGTGACCTTCTCACCACCTGGCATGCAGCATGTTAATACTTTCTGGATGTGCTTCAAGAACTTCTTTGCTGCAAACAGCTTCAGATTCTCATCAGCGTTAACTCAGGCACCAAATTGTGAATTATACTAATTGGTTGCCACTTGTTTCACAGTAATTTCCCCAAAGCCTTTTAAATAGTCTAGAGCTGTGCCACCAGCATCAGTCACTGATAGAGCAGAAAAGCAGGAAAAATATTCCTCCAAATAAGCACTGGGACCAGAAACACTAAGCCTGTTGCTTGTTGCCAGCAACGTATGCACTGTTCCTGCTAAGCAAACCACCTGTTCTTTGAGCATTTCCCTGACTTCATTCTTCCTTCACAGGATTTCTTATAACGAGCTTCAGGAACGGTGTCACAGTTGCTTTCATTAGTCAGCAGTGTCAGTCTTGAGAAAAATGAAATGTCAACACAGACGGTCATGAGGAAGGCTTTTGAAAACCACAGATGTACCTTTAACCTGCTGTGGTGATCAAGATGGTAGTCTCTACTTTTCCAGACACAGAAAGAAGTCCTGATCAAAGACACCCCTCAATGCTTGTGGGTTCTATCTGGATAGATTTGACAAATCTGAAAAATTTTTGGATGCTGTGGACATCATAACCCACATTTCACAACATTCCCTCTCATTGGTCTCATCAGCTTGGAGATCTGGGGAGGGTTATCTGGAATTAATTGGATTTGCTCTTAGAAGCAAGAATCTGTCACTCGTCTACCTGTGAAAGAGGCACCAAATAAGCACTAACATCTGATACAAGAAGGCAAAGGCACAGCAGTGACCTTTTTGTATTACTAAGTGATGAAAAAACCTCAGCCATTTCCTAAACAAACTGGCAGTAGAGAAAGGGCTGATGAGAAACCTGTCTTGGAGCTCGTTTTCACAACTGGCAAATTGCACAGAAGTCCTTTTATATTTCTAATATGAAGAGGAAAAAAGGAGGGCAACAGATTCAGAACTACAAATTCAAGTTCTGTAATGGTAGGGGAGAAATGATCTGATCCTAGATAGGAAAAAAATTTTGGATTGCCATAAAAATCAGCTGTGCTTCATAAAATGAATGTACTGGCAGCTACCACCTTCTTTTAATAAGATTAAGGATGGAAGTCTCTGTTGCTCTCCTTTGGTCCAGTTATATTAACTACATGATAGGTGCAATGGTGCTTTCCTCAAAATCTGGAAGTACCTGTGGTCTATATACAGCTCCATTCTCCTGAGCGCTCTGTGTTACAGCAGCCATATTTCAATTAATGACTGCTTCTCTACAACTAATGGTTGACTGGAAAGATTCAGTTCAGCTTTTGTATCCTCAAGCCCTGCTAGCAGTACTGACATATCTGGAAGTTGAAGCCAGGGTCACACCCCACTGTGTTAATACTCTGTATAGGCAAAACAAACAAAAAAATTAGTTCTCAAGAAGCTTAAATTCCTCTTAACCTTGCACTCTTCAGTGCATTAGAAAGCATCTTCTGTAAAATCACTGAAAAAAGGAAATTTTTCAGTCTTCTGTTAAAGCTCTATCCCAGTGTCCAGGTTTGGCTAAAACAGGACCAATTCTCTTTTCAGTAGATTTTCCTTCAGTTAAGTTTTGTCTAAGTAACTGTACTTTCTGAAGCTGACTGTTTGTTTTTTTGGTTTGCTTCTTTTTTTTTTTTCAGACAGTGTCTGCTTTTGGAGTTGATGGTGCTTGATGTTTGTAGTTGTTATTAAAAGTGATGGGATTGTAATGCAAAAAGGCCCATGTTTGTGTTTGATTCTTTGGGAACCAGAGTCACTTGGCTCTCTTGTGGTCCATGTGTGGGGAGGCATAAAAGGGTTGCATTCGCAGAAAGCTGCGGACCAAAAAAAGTGACCAATGAAGTATTCCATCCCATATATGTGATACTCAGTATAAAGCTGAGGGATCATGGGGGGTCAGCCCTCTTTCTTTCATGCCTGGCAGCATCCCTGTGGGACTCTGCTTGTTCTCTTGCCTCAAATCGCGATCTGTGTATTCCTGAATCCGGTTCCCATCTGCTGCTGAATGCAGTCTAGGACATCCGGGTGCCTGCCCTGCCACATGAGCACTGTGAGCTGCCATTGCATGTGGTCCCGTAATCATCTCTGGGAAGCTCAATAGTGGTTTTGTATATTTTTAATTTCTATTATTAGTAGTATCAGTATTAATATTATTATACTCTTTTTTTCCATGGTTAC